AGAGGAGAGAGGAGAGAGGAGAGAGGAGAGAGGAGAGAGAGACCTCGCTGTGCAATCCAGGCTGGACCTGACCTGCCTATGAGGCTCAGACTGACTTTCAATCTTCTTGGCTCAGCAGCTCCCAAGGGCTGGTATTATAGGCACGTGCTAATATGGCTGACAATGGACTTGAAGCTTACTGTTACTCTGGTTGATCTCAGTAGAGCAAAGGGTTCAAATCCCCCTGGCAACATGAAATGTTTGGAGTGGAGGCCAGTTTGTTCCCTTCATCAGCTCTTCCTTTTGTGCTGTATCTCAGACAGGGCCTTTCACTGTCAATGCTCAGTGTCGCATTTACTTGTAGACTTGGCTCTTGCCCAGTGTTGCGAGTCCACTGATAGGGGAGCGGAGGGGAAGCATAGCAGGTTCTGTTGTTCTGAGTAAGCTTCGGAGCACTTTCTTTGCTTTCTGTTCAGTCTCATGACAACTTTCTTTTTTTCCAAGCATAGCTGAGATAAGGCTATAAATTTAAATAAGAGTCTACTACTAGTTCTGCAGTAATAGAGAGGAATTACAAGGTGAAAATAATTCCTAAGTTCTATTAAATATTACTACACTCAGACATTCACAACTCAAACTAGACCTTTTGCATCTACCACTACCTCCTTCAACATAAGTGTACCCTTCAAAAATAAAACTCCTTACCTAGAATTATAGACCAAATTGACTCTTCAAGTCCCAGTGAGAAGAGAAAGCCACATTCTTCCAAAATCCAGAGCTCTACAAGTTCCTATAATAGGATAAATCTCTTTCTAGGATAAATGACAGTGGAGAATTTTACCTTGACGTAAAATCCAAACTGTATAAACAGGCACCTGATTTACTTCAAGGTTTCTAAATGTTAGGTGTATAATAATACATTGCCAACACATTTATAAAATTTGATTTATTCAGTCACAAATCATACCAAATCAAGAGCATCTCTGTGCAGCCTAGTTGCTGTTGGGTAAACTGAACCCATGAGTCAGAGGTAACTGGGACACTGGGCCTGCATTTCTGTTTTCTGGTGGCCAGAATCTCCATTCTCAATTAGCCTTAAGCAGCTGTCTAAATTAGAACAGAAAAAAATCTTAAAAGAACAAGCAGTAATTTATACATATGGAGCAATTTAAGGCCATACTGAGAACCAGACAAGCTCATATTCAATGGAGTGATATATTTTTGTAGAGAAATGATGCACCTTAACTATGCATCTACTTATATTGTAAAATAGAATACTTTTCAGTCTAAAATATTTGCTTTTGAGTTATTCTACTTAACTCATACTTTGTGCAGGAAACAGGAGAACACACTTGCTTTACAGTCATATGATTGAAAGATCCTTCACACTGTAGGCACACCAGTCAATCCTGAAAGGCAAGACAGCTTGCAAGTTCTAAAAATAAGTTCCTCCTCTTTCAATTGTGGGGATAAAAAAATGTCAGTTAGGCAAACCTGTTATACAAAATTTGGTCAAAAATTGACCAGATGGCCAGGTGCCCATATTCTTCTTTCAAAGTACACATTCATTAAGCTTTTTCAGGAAACCAATCACATCACTGTGATTTGAAAAAGAAAATGTTTCTTGACCTGTTGAAAATGAATATACCTGTCCAGCATAATAGAAAACTTCAGATGCTCGCTGTTGGTCGTTCTGAAGCGTTAAAGTCCGATGGGTTTCAATATACAGCTCAGCTCACAATGTTGTCTCACTTCTCATCTTCGTGGAAAACCTTCTTTTTTATGGAGGCAGTAAGCAAAAATTATGACTTAGGTGTGTGTGTAGTTGGTGTGCATAATTTTGATTGTTTCATACGTGTCAGGATCCTGTCTATGAATGGAGAGAGAAAGATAAGGTTCTTCTGCTCCCACCCAGAGCGTACCCTAGGCCTCATAGAGGCCTCAGGTTTTGCTAAGGAACTAAGGGAAAGGCTGTCTACAAAGTGCTGCAGCTCTAGTGATAGCTTTGTTATCATGTCAGTAGCAACCTACGTTACTGTAGAGCTCACTGTTTTCAGGAGACAACCCCTTTCTGTCTCTCTTCCTGCTGTTAACATCTAATCTACTCTCCTTCCCTTCCTAGATTATGCTGCCTCATGGCTTCTGGAAGAACCTGATCATAGTTCCAAGGATAGCTCTGGCAATGAGGTTCAAAGTCTGCCTCTTCCATTTACTAACCATGGATTTAGCCAATGGATTTAAACATCCTGTGCCTCATTTTCCCCATCTCAAAATGGTACTTATCTCATAGTGTATTTCTGACATGGGTGAGTCCTCAACAAACATTAGTTGCAGCTTTCCTGTCTGTGTAGTGCACATGCACCGCCCACTCGCCAACGGCTTTCTTCTCTACACATGTCCATCTCTTTCAGATTCCAACAAAGCAGAACTGAGGGGTCGGCAGTCATCACCCTCAGCAGCGCCCAACACTCATACTTGGCGGAGCTCTGAGCCCAGCCTCCGCAGAAGTTCCCACCCCACACACTGAACAAGTAGAGAGATGCTCGTCTCTATTGTAGGCTGGTGGGTAAAGAGTGTTGCAGCTATGGTGTTTTTCACTGGCTTTTCAAAGACAGCCATGGCACAGCAGTCCATATGCTGTGTAACCGACTAAAGATGGCACCGAGTCCTTGCTCCTTTCCATGGCTGCTACGTCTGGGGCCATGGTGAGTGATTGACCGTCATGCCTGCCACAGTAGGCAAGCCTTTTAACCTTCCTCTGTTGACATAACAAAGACTGAGCTGTGAACGCCTGTCCCCTGCATCATTATTTAATGAGCCCAAAGCCAAGTCCTCAGTGCTGCGCTCCTAAGTCATTCTTGGTGTTAATTTTCTCTAGACTTTACATTTCACTCTTCCAGGTTAAGTACCCTTGTTCTATTCTTAAACCTCATGGAAATGAGACTGGCAAGCACACAGTGTGGCCTTGCTGACAGAGGACACCCCATTTGCTTCCTGAAACCACAGGAGCCATCTTCCATCTTCCTAACTATATCTTTGACTCCAAATTCTGTTTTCTGGACACCTGCTCTTTGATTTGCCAAATATTGAACTCTGCTCATTTTGTTTGTGCTCTTTTAGAATCTGAACAGCACTGCTCTTACCCTACTCATCTTCCAAGAACTGTTGATCTCCTGTACTGTAATACATTATGTAAATTCAGAGCTTTAGGGTCCTATCTGTGACTAAGCTCCCATGGGGAGACTCCCCATTGAGACTAATTTAGAGGAAAGGAAGCTACTCTACCAAAGACGATGATGAAATTCGCATTAACTGCAAGATAGCACACCACAGAAGACCCTATATCTTGCTGACACTACTCTTTTGAACTATTTGAAGAAAAACATGGTAAAAAGAAAACAGACGACCCTTTTGCATCTATATACTCAAAATAGTTAGGATAGATATACAGCTCCATTCTCTTAATTCAATGAATAGAGAGGTTTGTTCTAATAGTGTTTGAAACATGATATCATGTCAGGATATCATGTCTGCATCTTGTACAATGAATAACCACTAAGACAACAATATGCAATGTATTAATTATTGAAAATGTGCCAGTAATCAGTTGTGAAACTGTCTCATTGATATTTGTTTCTCAGTAGAATTATTAAAAAATAAATAAATAAAACTAAAAAAAGATTTAAAAAAAAAAGAAAAAGAAAACAGAGTCCTTTCTTCTAAGTTTAACGCACCAGTAAATACACAGACCGCACTATACACCTGTATTTGATTGTATCACAGATGCCGAAGTCCTGCTGAGTCGTGGAAAGTTCTCCAAATCAGAGATCAAAATGACTGGAATCCTTCACATAGCCTTGTTTTATATCTTACAAAGAATCCAGGAAAAGTGCTGAAACTGTTCTGCACTTTCAGTTCTTTAAGTCAAGCACAACCACTACACCTACCTTATAAAAAGTTCCCAGAGTCACATCAAATATCAGTGTCTGTATAACTGAAAGAAATGAAATCCATAAATCCATGAGTCTCAGAGTACGCTGTGAATTTGGTTGGTTACCAGCATCGGTCTCCTAAGAAGCAGCCAAACCAAACCCACGGCAAATATTTTCTCCTGTTACAGGTCCTGCAGAGAGAATTGAGCAATCCTAGACCCAGTTATACAGCACAGCACAGCTCTTTAATGGTCATCACGTAAGGTCGTAAGGAAGCATTGTTACAGCTAAGCTGATACAGCGTGGCAAAGGATGTTGGAAGGATTAAATCCTTTTGAAATGGGTCTTGATTCGAGCTTACAAAAAAGGAATGGCAGAATTGGTGGACATGTCCCTTTAGCCTTGTGTATGGGACAGCGTAAGTGAGACCCACAAAGCCATGGAAGGAGCTCCAGGGTAAGCCCCTGCTGCTTACTGTGGGCACCTGCTTCTTTTGGCACTGTTTCCGTCAGATCAAGAATACAAATCCCAGATGGACTCAACCCGTGAACGTGAGCTGTTACACACTCCAGCTGAGAGGTAGTCAATTTTATTGTCTTGCCTTCACTGTGTTTAAGGCCTCTCCAGTTCAACCTTGCAAGTTTATTGAGTATTATTATGTATGCAATCATGTGTGCTTGGACCCTGGCATCTGGGTATTGATGACAGGGCTCTGACGAAAAGTGGAAAGCTGAGCTCTCCACGGGTGACTGCTCTCAGTCATTCAAATATTTAGCTACCTTCACTTTTTTTTTATCAGGTATTTATTGTAAGCTTAGTAAAATTGGACTCCTTAAGGCTCAAGACAAAGACCTTTGTCTTCCTCTTCCTCACCCTGCTCTGCCTCTTAACTGTAGTTTGTGATTCAGGTACTTCCTTAAGGCGAAGCTGGCATGCCTGGAACTTCTGAGCTGAAACACATAGAAGGCTAGGAATCCACACTATCGAGATTGCAATTTATGCCTGTGGTTTGTTTTGATATAGATAAGAAACTCCCATTACCACATTAGTGGCTTCAGAGGAAAACTACCACGTCCAGTTCACTGAAGTTCCCAGGTATGGAATTGAACCAAGACTTTCCACTAAAGGTACGAAAAGATTTTCAAAATGCAATGGGTAAAGGGAAAGTGGTGATAGTCATTCTTAAGTGCTGAAATTTCTATTGTCTGATATAAAATGAGAGTCTGTGGCAGGGGGTACTTGTAGGGGAGAATAAATTTCAAGAGATGAAAATTTTTTAAAGGACAGAATTCAATCAATCTTACATTAGTTTACCTTATTTTAATTTATTTTGTGATCCAGTGATTGAACCCAGAGTTTCACACAAGTTAGAAAGGTGCTCTACCACTGAGCTATATCCTCAGACCAACCCATTTGAAAAGACAACTTGAAATTCCAAGCCAAAGAAAAATATTAATATGGACTAAAGATAAAACATTGATAAAAGATATTTAAAGTAAAATGATGAGCTTTAAAATATTTTCAAGGTTGAAGAAAGGTTAGTAATATAAGTAAATAAGTAATACATGATATAGCAATAAATAATATAAGTAAAACATTTACAGACAAGAATTAAAGGAAGCTGTAAGATCCATTTATACTAAAAGGGCACTGTGATAGTATGTTTTGCAGGGTCAGTGTTTGCTGAAGTGTTTTGTCCACTTTTTTGCATTTAAGGGGGAAAAAAATGGAAATGTAGGAGATGACACCCAGCCCAGAGACGTCACTGACACATGAGCAACCGTGTGTGCTTCCTGTTTGGGGTTTGTAGAGTCCGTGGTGAGTTCCACCACGTTTATCTTCTGTGGAATGCACAAGCTGATAGCCAAGCCCAGCAGCTGTGGAACATCAAGGGCAGTGGGGAAGGCCACAAGTTCTGGGGGTAACTTATCTGAGGATAAAAATAATCAGAATGAATAAAAATTGGATGTGTTTCCATGTTTTGCTTTGCTTTGAGATGGTATATTTCGTATTGTCTCTTGTAGAGTCTGAATTATGAAGAGCACTATGACAAATCGGAAGTCCCTGCTGATACTGTTGCTTTTATTAGTCTTCTGGATCAGTGTGACTGTTTTCCGCAACTCCACAAAGGTAGGAATTGCTTCCTTTCTCTGTCATACAAAAGTAGCTTTCTACTTAAACTTCCTCTATTCTGTGCAAGTCCCAACTGAGACCTGTACATTAGTTTTAGAAGTATCTGCAGCATTAAAATATTAAGATAACGGGTAATTCATAAACATTTATTAAGGAACTTTCTGAAAAATAAATATGCTTATGTAGTAAATTTTATCTGGGTTTTAAAAAATATTGGGTACTTTTTGAAGGGAAACACTTCCCCACCAACATAGAACTTGCCTAAATACTCTACTAAAATTTAAAATGTTGCTTTTGATATTGAATCTTTTCATTTAGATGCTTTCTTGTGTCCAGCAGCTAATCATTGGTTCGACAGTAGCACAGCCTCTAAACCCCCACATGGAGGCTGCAAGGTTGCATCTTACAGTCATCTTGCCTTTTGCTCTAGATTTTAAAAATATTAAAAATTCTAATCTTCACATGAACCTCTGGATTTCCAGCTCTAACTGAAAAAGAAATGTGACCGGCACCAAATACAGAGTTCACCAAAAAAAGTGTATACACACATTAGGAAAAGAAAAAATTGCATAAATATTTTAATACTAAATTTATTGAGATATTATGGGTTTAATATAAATTCTCTTTGGCCACTACAGTTATAAGAGGTGCTCAAAGTGGTGGCCATGGGTTCCAGATGTTTATGAGTACAGCAAACCGCAGCTCAGGTAACATTGGGCAATGAGATTACTGACATGCATTTGTCATTTCTTTTCAATGGCCACCAGTGTAGTGGATTTTCTGTGACATATGACATCCTCTAGGCTTCCTCATACGAGGGTGGTACCATTTGTTGGAAAAACATTAGCTTATTTTTCTTTTCCTGAAGTGTATGCATATCTCTGGCAGACTCTGCTTTTGTGCTACCTTTCCCTGTCTTTAGAACTCTGCTTTTCTTCCTTGATTCAATCTTGCCTGTCTTTGATTTTTCAGGAGATTCCCCATAGGTTCTGGTTCAATCAAGGTACCTCTGTTTCACAGATCTATGAAGTTCTTTTCTGTCTTTTACATGATTTTTATACCCAAAAATTGAGGCTGCTTTTTCATAGAATTCCTTAGCGAGTACTGAAGCTGTTAAAGTTTCTGTCCTAAGTATGGATATTTTCCAGTTTTCCCTTTACTTTGTCGAGTTTTACTATATATATTTTTTTCTATTTTTTTTCTGACAAATGCTCTTATTGCAACAAAATGTCCATATTTATTTCTAGTGTTATTCTGTGACCCATAGACTAATTTAATAATGCTCGCTTTTTATGCTTCCTGGCATATTCCTTTCAACCTATAGGTTTCTTTATAACCAAGAAGCCTTCCTTATAAGTTGCTTCTTTTCTCTACCTATTAATGGGATATTTAGTCCACTTACATGTAACAGAATTATTAGTATGAGTGGATTTAGAGGTACCGCTTTGCTGTTGATTTTCTGTTTGGTCCTTTCACTGTCAGTTCCTGTTTTTCTTTCCGACCTCATTTTGAGCTAACTGAAATTTTTTATTTTTAGTATTTCCTTTTAGTTTTTACGTTGTTTTCAGTGGTTTCTAGACATTATGTCATGTACTCTTAGTTTTTAGAATGAATGTGCCACTTCATTTAATGCACAGTCAATCTTTCAATATCTGTTATTCTGTTTAGTTTTATGTATACTTTACCCTGCTCTCTGTCATACTTACATTACAAATTTACAGTTTTAACTCTAAATAATTTCATGGACTTTAAAGAACTCAAGAAAGGGTGAGGGAGATAGCTCAGTGGAATAAGTGCTTGCCTGGCAAGCACACAGTCCTGAGTTCGATCCCTGGTGCCACCAAAATAATAATGAAGAACTTTACCTTCTGCATTTATCTTTGTACTTCCTATGTATCTTATTCCTTCCTGAAAATCTAGTTCCCACCTGGTATAATTTCCCTTTAGCCTAAAGAATTTCACTTAGCATTTCTCCTAGAGCAAGTCTGAAGTTGTCCCTTCTGTCATGTACAGACACCTCCCCATTCCTGTCTGCCTGTGTGCACTCTCCACTGCTTTTAAAGAAGTTTTTCATTTTTTAGTTCTTGTTTTGTTTTTGTACAGGAGATCAAGCTTGGGACCTTGCACTCGCCAGGCAGGCACTTATGCCATTGGGCTATATCCCCAGCCCAGACTTGTTTATTTCCTAAATTTGTTTGTTGGCTCTGGTATGTGGGTACATACCTGTAATTCAGGCATTTGAGAAGCAGAAATGGGGGGGTCACCTGGAATTTGAGGCCAATGGTGACATGGTTATGTCTGATAGTCCTGTATGCTTTTAGCATTCACTAACATTTAATAATAAATCAGTGTTAGCTTATAATTAGAAAATAAAAAATTTTTAAAACCTATATTTCTCAGGGCTGGGGAGATGGCTCAGTGGAATAAGCTCTTCCCTGACAAGCACAAGTGCCTGAGTTCAATCCCTGGTTCCGCAAAAAAAAAAACTATATTTCTCTATCTCCCATATTCATCAAAATCTGAGAAAATACTAAAAAAAAAACCAGAATCCTTAAGTAAATTATAAAAGAGGAAATAGAAAAATAGGTAGTTATATTTTACATAAAAGCCCCACGCATGTTCAAAGTGGTTTTATTATTTGAACACTTATTTTTAATTGACATATAAAATGTGTATTGTATTCAGTACAACATATTTTAAATGTATATGAATTTTAGAATAACTAAATTAAACTAACTACTATACACTCTCATATACTTTTTGTTTTGTCTTTTTTTCTCCTAAGAACACTTAAAAATCTTCTCCCTCAGCAACTTTTAAGAATACAATACACTGTGATTAACTCTAGCTACCAGGCTTACAGTGTGTCCCCTGAAAGCTTATGCCTCTTCCCTCTTATCTAACTTATTTTTTCTGTGACCAAATGTGTTGTTTACCGCTTCAAGTCATTGGCCGGACCAGTATCATGCAGCTTGTCTCCTATGTCTCTTAGTTGTATAGTTCCAAGACTTGCATTTAAACCATGTATGCATTTTGGGTTCATGTTTGTATAACATTTGATTGAAGGCTTCAGTTGCATTCTTCTGAGTATGAATATATAATTGTCTCACTGCTATTTACTAAAAGGATTATGCTTTCTACACTGTATGCTTTGGCATAACGTCAAAGGACCATAAATAGGTGGTTTATATCTGGGTTCTCTATTCCATTGATCTATGTGTCTGACCTATGTTAGTATTGGGATATTTTGAATACCAGATTTTTGTGGTGTATTTTGAGGTCAAGTAGCATGACCTCTGGCCTTGCTCTTTTTGTTCTACATTGCTGTGGCTACTCAGGATCTTTTGTAATTTCTTATGAGTTTTAAGTAATTTCTTACGAGTTTCCCTGGCAAGCACAAGGGCCTGCGTGCCTGAGTTCAATCCCTGGTTCTGCAAAAAAAAAAAGAAAAGAAAAAAGAAAGAATGAAAATATCATTGATATTTTAGTAAAAATTTAAAGACGGCCTATTTAACAGTATTAATCCTTCCAATCTATGAACATGGAATATCACTGCATTTACTTGTTTCTTGCACAATTTCCTTCATCGGTATTTCACAATAAGGACCAGCAAGATAGCTCAGCAGACTAAATGCCTGCTTAGGCAAGCACAGGGACGGAGGTTCAATTCCCAGTGCTGGCCTCACTCCTAGGCATGCTGAGCTGGCTACAGAGTATGGGAGTGTGGCACATGTCTGTAATCCCAGAGCTAGGGAGGCTGAAAACAGGAGGATCACCCTGAGTCCAAACTGTGAAAGGAGACCCTGTACCAAATACATAAAAATTAAAAAAAAAAAAATTTAATTTCATAATAAATGCTCAGCATACAGGTCTTTTCCTGCTTGGTTAACTTCATTACCTAGAATTTTTTAGTAGCTTTCATAAATGAGATTGCTTTCTTGGCTTCTTTATTCAGATACTTTGTGATTAGTGCATGGAAATGCTATCAAGGGCCGGGGAGATGGCTCAGTGGAATAAGCGCTTCCCTCGCAAGTGCAGGGGCCTGAGTTCAATCAACCATTCCACCAAAAAAAAAAAAAAAAAAGAAAGAAAGAAAGAAAAAAAATACAAATACTATTAATTTTTGTGTATTGCTTATATATCCTACTACAACTTCAATGAATTTATTTATTACTTTTTATAATTTTTGGTGAAACCTATAGGGTTCTCTCTATAGAAGACTGTGTCATTTGCAGATGGGGCTAATTTAACTTTTTGCATTCTGACCAGAAGGGCTTTTCTTTCTTTCTCTTGCCTATTTGACCTGGCTAGGACTTGCAGTACTGTGCTAATCCAAAGTGATAAAGATAAGCATCTTTTCCTGTTATTTGATGTTCAAGAGAAAAATTTCAATTTTTTAACTTTTGAATATGTATTCTCTCCTGTTCAATATTTTGGAATAGTTTAAGAAAGGTTGATATTAGTTCTTCTTTAAATGTTGGGCACAACTCAGAAGTAAAGCCGTTGGTTCCTGGACTTTGTGATGGGAGGTGCTCGCACTGATAAACTCTCCTTGGCTTTCTCTTCGTGAATCAGGCTTGGTAGGTGGCATGAGCCTGGGAATGTATCCACTTCTTCTGGGTTACCCAACTTGCTGGCATATAACTTTTCATAGTAGACTGTTATAATATATCAGTTGTGATACTTTCACAGGATTTTCTTGGTTTCTAATTTTATTAATTTATATCTTCACTCATTTTCCTCTTTAAGTTCAAGGTTATTTCATGTTTTCCAAAACCAACACTTAATATCAGTGACTACTTTTACTGTTTTTCTAGTCTTGATTTAACTGCTCTGCACTTTATTATGACTTTTTTCTGCTAACTTTCATCTTGGCTAGTTTGCATTTTTTTGCTTCCTTGAGGTGTGACATTAGTTTGGTTATTGAAATTGGTTTTTTAGTTATTATTTAGGTGCTTATTGCTATAAATTTCCCTCTTAGAACTGCTCATCTCCATCCCATAGATTTGGCATTTTATGTATCTATTTTCCTTTCTCTCTGTCTCTGCCTCTGTCTCTGCATCTATCTGTGCCTCTCTGTCTCTCTGTGCCTGTCTCAGTCTCTCCATGTGTTTCTGTCTCTGTCTTTGTCTCTGTCTCTCTCATTCCCTGACTCCTTCTCTCCATCCCCATCCACACACACACTACATGACCTTACTTATTCATAAAAGGAATCTTATAGTTATAAACCCTGTTGCAAGCTGATAATAACTAAATCTTGATCACATGAAAACTTCATACATTTACTACATTCCTATGCCATATTCTAAATTTGTAGTGTTACATCCTTTATCTCGTTTAATAGTTAATGAACTATTGTAGCTATTATTTTCAATGAATCTACCTAATCAGCTTCACTCTGTTCGGGGAGGATCAGGTCTCACTGGCTGTTCTGCTCAGGCACTCCAGTGAAGGGACATCAGCTCTCTGGAGGCCTTCATACAAAAGTGCAATTTGCATACCATAACTACAGTGCAAGCGTATTGTAATTTTGACTGTGCATTTATATTTACCAATGAGTTAATGTTTCCTATGGTTTTCTTGTCACTAATTTTACTAATTAGCATCTTTGGCTTTCAGTTTGAAAAATGATCTTTTAGCATTTCTGAACATCTTAGATTTTGGTCTAAGATTGAACACTTTTGATTAAATTTTAGATTTAAGACAAAAATAAAAGAACGGTAGGCAACAATTTTCTACTATATAGTTAAAAACATTTTCTCATTCAATCTTCTCAGCTGCTATTAAAGAAGATTTATTACTAATTTTCAGAAGATGCTCCTCAGACCTCTTGGGGCCAAATAGGTCTTCCAAAATAAATTAACCAATGAAAACTCGGCTAACGTTAATAGAATTTATAAACAAAGTATAAATATGAAACATATAAAATCATAAAAATCTCAGTGTCATTTAATTTCAGCAGCTATCATGGCTTTATAAAAGACAAAATTTAGCTAACCAAATAAAAGTGCTACATTAAGCAGGAACATTTTATCTTCTTTTTTTTTGTCATTTCAGAACTGGCCTGCTCTCAGGTGGCCCGATTCCCTCCTTCGCTGGACTTTCATCAGGAAGACTTTGCACCCCGAAGCACCACCATGTTCAGTAGTTTCTGAAATAGAGACTGACCTGAAAATCAGGAAGATAGTGGAAAAAGTGGACCAGATGATCCCACCCAGACCCTTCACCCACGTGCACACCACCACCAGTGCTGCCCAGAGCACAGCCACCATCCTCAACCCCAGAGACACATACTGCCAGGGGGACCAGCTGGATGTCCTGCTGGAGGCGAAGAACCACCTGGGACGCAGGAAGGAATACGGCGGGGACTTCCTGAGGGCCAGGATGTCCTCCGCAGGCCTGAAGGCCGGTGCGTCAGGGAGGGTGACGGACTTCAACAACGGCACCTACCTTGTCAGCTTCACTCTGTTCTGGGAGGGCCAGGTCTCCCTGTCTGTGCTACTCATGCACCCCAGTGAAGGGGCGTCAGCCCTCTGGAGGGCGAGGAACCAAGGTTATGACAGGGTGATCTTCACAGGCCATTTTACCCATGGCAACTCCCAGGTCAACACTGAGTGCGCCCTGTTTTTAAACTCAAGTGCTGAACTGTGCAGATATCAGGATGCTGAAGACCACGAAGCCTTCTACTGTGAGAGACCTCCACATGTTTCCTGTGCTGCACTCACCCACATGCATTCCAGGAACAAAGACATTTCCTATCTTAGCCAACAAGAAAGGAGCCTCTTTGAAAGGTAAATAATTATCGCTGGTGACTATCTGAGCAAATATAGTGCTTGGCTGATGTGGCAACTCTGTAAATATATCATCTTTGATACTCTATAAGAGTCATGTGGGAAAAGAACTGTGGATCGATTTGGGGCCAGGGCTCAGTCTCCAGAAGGCTTCAGATGTTTTGGATGTTTAATTCCCACTAATGAAATAAAAAATATATAGGTAGAATAAAAATTGAAAATGAATAAGTACAGAGTATGCCATATATATATATATATATGTATGTATTTTATTAATAAATTTACTGAGACATCATGAGATTAATACTACCTTTGGCCTCTACAATTACAAGAGGTGCTTACAGCAGTGGCCATTAGCTTCCAGATGCTTAATAGTACAGCAAGCAGCTGAAATCTGCATGCATTTGGTTTGCAGACTCTGCGTGTGTGTGTGTGTGTGTGTGTGTGTGTGTGTGTGTCTGTGCTCTAACATATGCTCTCTGCATCCCAATAAATCACCTTGCACACTGTCTGAGTAACTGTATCCTGGAAATAATGGGCAAAACATGGAAGTTTACGAAATGATGCGAATATATGGGCGCAGCAGCCAACTCAACAAGAAGTAACCGAAGCTTTGGATAATCTGGCTTCTTGGTTCCTTATCTGGGGCCACCTGCAGATTAATTTCTATATTGTCTTCCCTAAGGTCGAATGTGGGTGTGGAGATTATGAAAAACTCCAAGGTGATTCACGTCACAAAATGCAACAGTAAGTGCTCTGCGTTTGCGAGTTGCTCGGTACTAGAGCAAATCAATGGCCTTCCCCTTCTTCCTGGGTATTTTCACCTTTGAGCCTACTGGCAGTCTTTTTATCTATTGTGTCTAAGGTATCCAAGTGAGTGGATTATTAGACTCACTAAAATATATGTAACATATTTGAGTACATCTACCTCTCATCACCAATCTACTTGACAGATAACTGATTAGCTGCCCATCTTATTTAATAAATTATGAACATTAAAACTCTCTCCCAGTTCTTCACCTAGTTCTTTGCTTCCACACACTATCACTACCACTGATACTATCACTACCTCCTACATCCCTCCTAGCCCAAGAATCACCACCCGGCATGTCAAGATTGACTCTCGCCTTGAGTCTGTCATGTTCCAAATTTAACATGCAATGTAGAACTTCCACATTTGTATTTACTATATTTGTAATTATTTTTGCTCTAAATAGCCCATGGAAAGTTTGTCTAAAATGATTTAAGGAAACACCTTTTATATCTGTATCAGTTTGGCATTAAAATCTTGCTAATCACAAGGTACTTGTCTTCGTTAAAGTATATGCGCTCAAATGTAGAAAGAGCATTTCTCACCAGACATAGACATGGGAAAACTCATCCAACTTGTTAAATTTTAAACTACTGTGTTCGGATGATAAATAATCACTAGCCCAAACCTGCCACATCATCATCTTAGCCACCTCAGCTATTCATAATCCAGTGACTGAGAGTTTAATACCCAACCCTTAGTAGACCTCTAGACCAACACACATATGCTTTCTTAGTGATTGGTTTCTAGGCAATCTAGATTATATCATCCAGCCTTTTACTTAAAAAAGGTATAGTTTGATGGTGGCATTTATGACACTGTGATAATGTGTGACAAAATCAGGGGAAAGTAAGCTGAAATGATAGGATAAGTGACCTGTCACTTACTTTGCAAGAATTGATGATATTGCTTCCAAAGCAATGCTGACAAATACTTAAATTTTATGAGAAGGCCATTTCTTTGCTTTTTTTTCTGTATTTCAGGGAAGGGTCTACAGGATATTCAGGGTCTCAATGCTAGATTGGACTCATAATGATCCACCTGTTTACAGCCTCCCAAGTGCTGAGATTACAGGCGCGTGCCACCACGCCCAGTCTCAATCACCATCTCAGTGCACCCTGGGGTGGGACTGGCATGGCAGGCCCAGGGATCGAACCCTTGGCCCCTGCACTTGCTTGCAGGCACTTTAATCCACGGAGCTATTTGGCCAGCCCAAGAAGTCCATTTCTTCTGGGAAAACAAAATGTGCTCTTACAATAACCATTACTGGGTATCATCTAGAAAACTGACATCATAGAAAAGTTTTACTGACTATTAGGTACTCCACAGTGAAAATACTTCTATATGGCCTTGCCTCCTCCATCACTTTTACACCTTATTAAGAGGAAATATTAGGAAAGATAGGCATTTCTTAATAAATACTGATGGCTAATTTGATGTTTTAGAAGATCCTGTCTTGCTGATTTTTTTGGCAGCAAAAACAGTTCCAGTCAAAGAGAAATGCAAGCCTGGAAGGACATCCACAATCCCCAGTGGACACGTCTGGAAAGACACATGGAATCCTGTCTCCTGCATTTTGACTCCAGTCCAAATGAAAGACTGCTTGAGAGGAAAATTCATATATCTAATGGGAGATTCCACAATCCGCCAGTGGATAGAATACTTCAAAGCCAGTATCAACAGTATGCCTCACTCTAAACTATTTTTCATATATATCCCTTTTAGAAACTTCTTTTTCACTTCATATGTATCAGATTACTCAATCATGAAGCAGTGAAAAATAGTCACAAGTCATTATCTTCTCTAAAATAACAGATTTAGGGGCCGGGAAAATGGCTCAGTGGAATAAGTGCTTCCCTGGCAAGCACAAGGCCATTTTTGCTGGGGAAAAAAAATGTGCTCTTTAATAACCATTAATGAGTATCAGCTGGGAAACTGACAGAAGCTTAGAAGAGCAGTGTAGAAGAACATTACCCCACTGTCCCTGGAGAATTCGTTCTTCACTATTTCCACAATAGTCCTAGAAAATTGTTAGAGCTAAAGATGAGTTAGGACACTGAATCTCCCCCTTCTACAGTTGGTACAGTGATTAAGTATGAAAATTTTAGATTCAGGTGGCCTGGGTTCAAAGCTTAACCTCACGTTCTATCTTGGGGACCTTGGACAAGTTAGAAAACCATTTTGTCCTTTGGTTTCCTCCTTTATGAACCGACGGCAAAAAAGTACCCACCTAGTAAAATGCAATGATATATATAGTGCATTTAGAATGCTGCCTCTTACAAAGTAAGTTCTCATTGGTTTAAGCTATCATCACTATTATCACTACTTGACACTAGGACAGACATCTGGCAGACACAATGGCTAAAAGTGTAAGATTTAGTGTCTAATAGACCTGGTCTGTGTCACTTAGAAACAATAACTTAGAAATCTGGGGCATCTTGTTTATTTTCTCCACCCCAATTTCCTCATGCATCATCTAGAAATAGTAACTATGTGTGCTGTTAATTTTGAAGATGAAATGAGGTAATAGGTATAAAGCATTTAATACCTTATAAGACATTCTGGCACATAGAAAATGCCCTAAAAACAAGAGGAATGATTTTCATTAGTGTCAGGATCCAGACGTGAGAAACCTAGTCAACTGACCCTTGGATTTACTGAACAGTAATAACTCAGAATCAGTTAAGACATTTTAGCAATCCTATATAGAAAACCATCACTACCTATCCCTCTATGTCCCTAGGTCCCAGCTCTTATGACTAGAATAATCCAGAAGCTGTGACTCCACTTAGCCTTTTATATCAGGCCATTCTTATGATCTCTAACTCACAGAGAAAGCAGGTCCTCTCAGGAAAAATGGGATAATTGGTAAGGCCTGGACTACAAGTTAGTTACAAGCAGAATTCTCAGCATGGGAGTTTTCAACTGTGAGCTTTAGAAAGGTCATTCTGGAAGGGCTTCATCATATTCTGTTCATATGAGATTATTTTCAAAATTGTCAAGGTCAGGTAGACCATGTTCACAGGACTTGGGGGTAACTTCAATCTTGCATACTGAATGCATCACAAATTATAATCTTGGACAGGTGACTTTCTCTCTTACTATTCTATGACACGACAATTTGAAAATTACAAAAGGATCACTGAGGTGGATTGTAAGTTCAAACTGATGGTTTATAAACTATAAAGCAATTGACAAAAGTGGTAACACTGTTATTATACCACAAAATATAGTTGGTACCATCCTATGTAAATGGAAAAAAACACAGAACGGAGGAATTTGCAGTGGTTGAAGAATTAGATTCATTTGTTTTCATTATGTTACATTATGTTATGTTACGTTATGTTATGTTATGTTATGTTATTTCACTCATTCATTCAATGTGTATGGCCCTAGCAATGGAAGCCAGGCCTTACACTTTATGCAAGTGCTCTGTCATTGAACCACATCCCCAGCACTGGTATTTATTTATTTATTTATTTATTTATTTATTTTTATTTATTTAGCACAGGATCTACAGGGTCTCACTACACAGATCGGACTCATAGTGGTCCTCCTGCTTTCAGCCTCCTAAGCACGGGGATTCCACACCCAGTCTCATTCCCATCTCAGCGCACCCCGAGGATCAGGGCCGACACAGCATGCGTGGGATCAAACCCCAGCCCTTGCGCCTGCCTAAGCAGGTGCTTTAATCTGCTGAACTATCTGGCTGGCTCCCTTTTTTCCTTTTAGTGTAAATAAAATCAAGTGGAACTTTTCTCAAATGAGCTTGGTTTTTAGTTAACACAGTCTATAAAAATACTCACGAAACTGACTACATCATCTACTATCAGTTACCTTAATATCTTAGTATTCCCAGTCTCAGTCTATCTGCACAATTCTGTAAGAAGGTACGCATAAACCTCTTATATCTGGGTACCACTTTTTTTTTTTTTTTCAGAACTGAGGATTGAACTCAGACCCTTGTGCTTGCCAGGGAAGTGCTTATTCTACTGAGCCATCTCCCCTGACCCAACTTTTTTATTTTAAAGAGAGTAAGCAATTAGAAAAAACAATAAAAATGATACATAATTCCAAAACAAGATGATAGGAAATTAACAATGGTTGGTATATTGTATATAACTATCTTCAAAATAGTTCAGGTTACACTTTTCATTTTTCAAATAATTTTCCAAGTTATCCCTTCAGTTAAGCCTATAATAAATCAGACATGATTAGCCTTCTCAATTCTAAAAATCAAATTGCTCCTACCCTTAAGACAGGCAATCTTTGTAACATTATTCTCCTTTTTTTGGGATGGCGGATTTGTCATCAGCACTGAAGTCAGTAGATCTGCATGAATATGGAAAACTGCAACGCCAATTTGCTGTGGACTTGGATAGAAATATTAACATTCAGTGGCAAAAGCATGCTTACCCTTTAATTGGCTCAATGGTCTATTCAGTCAAAGAGATTGAGTACCTTGCACGAGCCATTGACAGAACTGGAGGAGACAAAAATACTATCATTGTGATTTCTCTGGGCCAGCACTTCAGACCCTTTCCCCTTGATGTCTTCATCCGAAGGGCCCTCAATGTCCACAAAGCTGTCCAGCGTCTTCTTCTGAGAAGCCCAGACACTGTGGTTATCATCAAGACAGAAAACACCAGGGAAATGAACAGTGATGTGGAAAGATTTAGTGACTTTCATGGTTACATTCAATATCTTGTTATGCAAGACATTTTCCAGGATCTCAATGTGGGTATTATTGACGCCTGGGATATAACAATTGCATATGGCTCAAATGACGTCCACCCACCTCAATATGTTATTGGAAATCAAATTAATATATTCTTAAATTATATTTGCTAGATAGCACATATCTCTGAAATCATTCGTTTAATTGAAAAAGATCTATTGAGTGTGTGCTAGGATGCTAGGTGCTGGGTGGTCTAACTCCCTTTTATACTAAGAAGACTGTCTACACTATGGATGCTGGATCTAGCAATTGTGCCAGATAAGATATACTTAATCTAAAATTCCACTAAAAGCGAAACCAAGTATAGTCACAAAAAGGTCCTATGTTTACAGACAGAGCTGTGCAGCTCTTCACCAAGGGAATCTATGATAGCTATGGGAAAAACTTTTATCTAATGTTTCCAATTTCAGAGCAATAAAATATTTTTAAATAAATATATGGAGAAAGCAGTCTTATTTCTCTATGTCTATCATGATAGGCTCGAGATGGTTTCCAAATTAGAACAGAGGTCTACACTGAAAGAGGAAATACATAATTCTAAGGAAGGACCCTGGTTCCAGACACCTCCGGCTTTTCTGTACCAGTTAGGAACTCTCACTGCCATTCTCCAAACTGATTCTCCAGCATTCAGTAGCTAGTATTGTAGGCTAACTTGGGTGGAAGCTAGTGTATTAGAGTTCAAGGAGCTGAAATTTAGTCCTGTTACTACCAGTACTTTCAGGACTTCTGGTAAATCATATCAGCTCTCTAGGTTTATGTTTTTCAAATGAAGGGATCAATCTGTGACTTATGATGTGTAAACTTTCCTCTGTGGAGCGCTGAGTGCCAAAGGCAGCTATTTATATACTATTTTGTGAGACAGGAAGCAGGAGTGGTGCCTGGTGGGCGAGGAGCTCAGCTCTACCATCACCCCTTCAGCCAGAGCATCAGCCACTTCTGCCTCTATGTGTATTATGCTTCTGAATGAGCTTTTAGTTTGAAAAACAATGTTCCACTATTCAAGACATGTTTGAAAGCCACCATATAGATAATCAATAATAGTGGCTTCTGTAATGTATATGGACAGATTAGAATTTTAATCATTGTTGTTTGCATTTTAATAGGTCTTTCCCCAACGTGACCCAAAAGGAATGATTTCTATGAGAATTTCAGTTGAGCATGGCAGTGTGATTATCTGAAGTGACTTGGCACCACAGCCTCAATTCTATGCTCTTCATCAAGCCTTAGCTACCACAGAACACTGACCTACCCTTGCTGCTTCAAGGAAAAACAATTATTAATATGACATCTTAAATCTATTTTTCTAGTTTCTGTTGGGCGAGTGTCATACATCTTCTATTTCTATGCCCAAATAGCTACATCACATTAAATGGAAAGAATATGAAAGCTTTCCCTCTAAAATCGGACAAGACAAGGATGTCCCCAGTCATCAGTTCTGTTTACTCTATTACTCAAAACATTAGCTAGAGCAATAAGACAAGAGATACAACTAAAATGGGTATCAACAAGGAAGGATGAAATTAAATTATTATTATTTACTAATGACATGATCTTCTACATAGACGACCCCAAAAGCTCTACCAAAAAGCTTCTAGATCTAAACTGCATGAACACAAAGGAAAAAAAAAATGAAACTACAGACCAATATCTTTGACATAGATACAAATGTCTTCAATAGAACTCTTTTTTTTAATTATTTATTTATTTATTTTTACATTTATTTAGTGTGTGTGTGTGTGTGTGTGTGTGTGGCCAGCTCAGCCCACGAGGGGGCGGGGCTGGCTGGCATGTGGTGCTGGGGGATTGAACCACAGTCCACTGTGCTTTGCTAAGCTTGTTCTAGGTAGGTGCTTTAGACCACTGAGCCATCTCTCCAGCCCCCTTCAATAGAACTCTTGAAAACAGGGGCTGGTAAGATGGCTCAGTGGTCTAAACCACCTACTTAGAACAAGCTTAGCAAATCAGAGGGACCACGGTTCAATCCCCCAGTACCACATGCCAGCCAGCCCCGCCCCCTGGTGGGCTGAGATGGCCACACACACACACACACACACACACGCACAAAATAAATAAAATTTTTAAAAAAAGAAATCTTGAAAACAGAATTTGACAACACTTTTTCAGAAATCACACAACATAATCAAGTTGGTTTCATGCCAGGAATGCATGGATGCTTCAGCACATGAAAATTAATAAATATAATATACCACATAAACAGATTCAAGAATAAAAATCACATGACCAATTCAATCAATGTAAAAAAAATCAACTTTTTTTTCATTTATGTATTTGGTACAGGGTCTCACTATGCAGCTCAAATTCATAGTGATCCTCCTGTTTACAGCCTCCCCAGTGCTGGGACTACAGGCATGCACCCCATGCCTGAACTCAGTAGCCAGCTCAGCATGACTCCAGGGCAGGGCTGGCACAACATGTGAGACTGGAGACCAGACCCTGGTCCCTGCTCTTGCCAAAACAGGTGCTTGGTCTGCTGAGCTATGTCACTAGCCCTAACAAATTTTAATAGCATTTCATGATAAATATCCTAAATAAAATAGGTATATGAGGATCTTACTTCAACAATATAGAGGCAATATACAACAAACTCATAGCCAAAATCATACTGAAATGGTAAAAACTGAAAACATTTCTCTAAAGTCAGGAATAAGAAAAGGCTGTCCACTCTTTTTTTTTTTTTTTTGAACCGGGGATTGAACTCAGGCCTTTGCGCTTGCCAAGGAAGCACTTATTCCACTGAGCCATCTCCCCAGCCCTGACTCCTTCTATTACTGTTTGAACAGTATTTAAAATTTTACCCAGAGCAATTAGGCAAAAGAAAGAAATAAAAGAAAAACTAATAAGAAAGAAAAAATTCACATTTTACCTACCTTTAAACAATAAGAAATGTACTTAGAGACTTTTAGATGTGGAAAACTCAGGGAAGTGGCAGGATACAAAATCAACACACAAAACTCAGTAGCTTTTCTATACACAAATAAAGAATGTGTAGAAAAAAGAAAAGAGAAAAATAATTTCAATCCAAATAGTTTTCATTAAAAAAAAAATATGAGTAAGCCTAGCCAACAAGTGAAAGATCCTTCTCTACAAATGAGAGGTACAAAATAATAAGGGAAGATATTTTAGTAGATACTATAGGATGAAAACTCTCCTGTTTTTGTTTGTTTGTTTGTTTGTTTGTTTTTCCAGAACCAGGAATTGAATTCAGGCCCTTGAGTCTGCCAGGGAAGTGCTTATTCTACTGAGCCATCTCCCCGACCCCTTCTCCTATGTTTATGGATTGAGAGAATTAACATCATTAAAATGACCCTATTATCAAAAGAAATTGAATTCAGTGCAATAACTATCCATTAAAATACCAATGATATTCTTTACAGAACTAGAAAAATGTAATCCTAAAAGTCATATGAAAACAAAAAAAGCCAAAACAATCCTATGAAAAAAGAGAAATTCTGGAGCTATCATAATACTGGATTTCAGAATATATTACAAAGCTAGTAACAAAAACAGCATGGCACTGGCATAAAAAAAGAGATATGCAAAGCAGTGGAATAAAACATAGGACAGAGATATAAGTCTGTATAACTACAACCACCTGATTCTTGGAAAAGCTAGCAAAAACATACACTGAAGAAACATTGTCTTTTTTAAACAAATGGTACCGGAAAACCTGGATATGTAGGTGTAGAAGACTGAAAATAAATTCCTATCTCAGCCTTGTAGAAAAATCAATTCAAAATGGATAAGAGAGTTAAGTATAAGACTGAAAACTTAAACACTGATCAAAGCAAACATAGAGGAAATACTTGAAATCATGTACACAAAGCAGTCAAAGACTTTCAGAATAAATGTCCAGTTGATCAGGAAGTAATAACAAGAATCAACAAATATGATTACAACAAATTAATAAGCTCTACACAGCAAAAATAAATAATTATCAGAATGAAGAAACATCTTGGAGAATGAGAGAAAACTTTAGCCAATTGCTTTTCTAACAGGGGATTAATAATCAAAATATATAAACAATTCAAAAAACAACAAAAATCTCCAATAAATAAATCAAATAGACAAATTTCAGGAGTAATAGTACTGGACAATAAGGAAATAAAAATGGTAAACATCTGGATCAGGGAAATACAAATCAAAACTACACTGAGATTCCATCTCACCCCAATCAGAATGGTTATTATCAAGAATGTAAAACTGGCAGGGATAAAAGGAAGATGGAAACACTCTACAGTGCTACTTTAAATGTAAATTAGCACAGCCACTGTGAAGATCAACATGGAGGACCCTCAAAAAACTAACAACAGAGATCATAGTGGTGTAGAGAAATAGCATTTAATACTTGTTCTGAGATACACACCAAGATCAATCCCATACGCAGCTGTATAATTTGGTAGGGGCAACAACCACTAGAATACAACTTAAATAAGAGAGCATTCCAGTTTCTCTTTTCTTTTGAGCATTTTTTCCTACTTCACAATATCTATTGTACATGGAATGGGGAAAAATAAAAGAAGATAAAAGGAAATATAA